CCCTCTGTGCAAAATGAACTACATCAATCACTGCCGATGATACGCATAGCCAAACCTTTTTCTTTCAACAGATTTTGTTTGTTGAGCGCATGACAAATTGGATCCACAATCACATGGTACTGGGTAAACGGACTTGTTTTCATGTATCTCGCCTGTGCATCAACCGATTTTCTTGTGGCGTAAATCCATTACCAAGATTTGGATCCAAGGAATTGGATTTGGCAATGAATCACTCATACAGACTACACTAACCTCTCTACACTACCAAAAATGACACATATTTACAGTATGATGTGTAATATTCATCTTAGCACAGCAAGAGATCTATCTTGCATACATTTTTACAGCGGTGGTACATAATTTAAAGCCATATGGAGCCATTTTCTCCCTATTAAGTCTCTTACTGTGGTAATTTAAAGCGATGGTTCACCAAAAATAGAAATCTGGCCATCAGTTACTTGCCTTCATGACCTGTATGAAAACCTGTATCCTGAAATATGTCTTAATGTGTTTTTGTCCACACAATGAAAGTCAGTTGGGTCCAGTGTTGTTTTGGACCCTACTGGACTTTCATTGTAGAGCCAAAAACGTTCTTCTTTCTGTTCTGCAGAAGAACGAAATTACATGAGGGTGAATAACTGATGACAATTTTAATTTTGGGTGAACCATTTCTTTAATTTGTGGTGAAATACTGTGAATTTGGCGACGTCCGTCACAATGGCCAACAATACGTGTTTGGTTTCTGAAAACAAGTTCTAAACCATCTACTCCTTTACAGATTAAATTGGTGTTTATCTACATCAACAATCAGGAACAGAAGAAAGGTCAATAAGCAGAAAACCGCATGGAGACAGAGAATGTCTTTGAAGCTCTAGGATCTAAGACCATGGCCTAATTGTAGTGACTGATGAGCTCGGGCTGCCGGCAGAAGCCTGGAGGGTGGAACCTAATACCTCATGGCAGCGGTGCTGGCTTGCCATCCAGGACGGACCTCTCTCAAGGGGGAATGGGGGTAGGGTGCTCAAAATCACTGTCATTTCAAACCAGCGTCTCTTCCGCCAAGGTCAGAGTGAACAAGGCAATAGCAACCTTGCCCTGAGCTACAGCCCCAGACAGAACCATTTTGCTTTGTAGCAGATGAACGTGGAAGGACAAATGGTGTCTATCAAAGACGGTAAACTTAACATTCACAAACAAGGACTACCTGTGAAAAACAACTCTGGAAATCCCGAAACATCCCAAAAGGGCATGGTTTCAGTTTCAAATAGCTTGGGCTACAACACAACAATGGTTCATTTTGTAGATTGATTGGTCATTGCTAGCATGTCCTGTCACAGAAATGCCTGGGATAACTGATGGCGTATGATTTCTATAATCAACAGAAATGGAAATTATGCTGAAAGCATGCACATGAATCGAACCGGAGGCACACTGCTTTACTTCTTACAAACATAAAAGCTATTGTAAAGGGAAAAAAAGCATCATACATAACTCCTAGTCACATCCTGTACTAACAAAACAGATTTGTTTTGAGATATTTGAAGCAAATATAATATCAGAGTTTAAAAACCCATTCTGGCTGTGAATTTTATTTGGTTTTAGGTTTATGAAAAGGCTATAAAAGCATCTTCAAGAGCATTGTGCAATGCTGATTATTTAAAGCAAGAAAATACAAGTTGTTTTGTTCCAGCGAGCCTAGAAAATGCAAGGGGTTGTTAAGGGTAAATTAAATCCAAATCTGGCCTTTTCCCTCATCTGTGCCACAGAAAATAAGACTCATCATTAAATTCTCCAGTCGCAGTCCTCCCCCCTCCCCTAAACGCCACGCAAGGATGCACCTGTGCTGGGAAGATAAGCCCAAAGGAGAGCTTCGGTATTGTTTGCAGCTCTACCCAATTGTTTATCATTAAAATGGAAGAAAAAAGGGGGGAAGGGGACAGAATAGTTAGCAACTACATAGATAAACCTCGTCGTAGTCTCCGCCGAATCCAGAAGTGAACCACAACCTTTAGCTGGAGGTAAAACAACGGAATGTAGAACATAGCGTGGGGAGGAACACAAGTAGTTGAGGCCACTTACTCTGATATCGTTACGTCTGACTTCTATATCGCACACCGCGTGGCCGTGGTTGGTAGCACATCTGGAGAAGCAGCAGTACTGGCAGACGGCCACATGCTCGGTTTCACAATGATATAGTCTGTACTCGTCGTGCTGTGGACAGCTCCAGGCCCGCACGTCCTCGGCGTCCACCAGTAAGTGCCCAGCGTTAGAAGAGGGTTGTTGGAGATGGGTCTGTACGTGGGAATGGCAGCAGGGCGCATTGCACCTGAGGCAAACCTTCTGGGCTTGAAGCGGAGGGCCGCGCCGGCACAGAATGCAGTGCAAGACCGCAGGAGTCTTCTCAACGTTTAACGCGTTAAACTTCTCCACAATGTTGGACAGTTTGTGGTTCTTCTCCAGAGCTGGTTTTTGGCTGTAGGCATGGTTGCATTCGGGACAGCGAACCATTCCTGTGTCTTTAGACCAGGCCTCGTTGATACACATGCGGCAGAAGTTGTGTTTGCAAGGGAGCTGAACCGGCTCCGAGAACACGTTCAAACAAATAGGGCATATGAGCTCCTCTTCCAGACAGTTCTTCCAGTTCTCAGCCATCTTTGATGCTGACAAGTCAAGGTAAAAACTGTATAAAATAGGTGCTCCTCTGTCGATACTGAAATGGGTGGAGTGGGAACCACAAGGACCTTGTTTTATCCCACAAACCTCAACTTTGTGCCAGTGAGAGTGTGAATACTCCAGAAGAGTATACTTTGAGCACACTTTAGCTCAAGGCAACATCATTACACCACCCACTTATTCATTCGTTCGTGTCAACTGTAGGCGCCGCGAGAATTTGGTGTTGCAACAGCACTAAAGTGGACTTTTCGGTCTTGTGACTTTAAATGCCAACACACTAGTTCATATTCTACACGTGTGGCCGATTCCTGCGTCCACTAGTTATGTATCTATGAATAATCTAGTCTGCTGACGATCAGCCTGACAGCTCGTTTAACTAGGTAAATAGGCCGTTTTTTCGCGAACAGCCTCGAGCGAGAGACTAATAAAAGCTGTTGAAAGTAAATTAGTATTCTCACGACCAGGCTTTTGTTGTTTTTGTCCGCTGCTATTTTGACATCGCATCACAATGACATGGATTTGGTTTCCAAAGAGGATTATAATGGTTCTGCTGGCTCTCCATACAGACGTTCGTTACACTTTATATTAAAATAACGTACTCATATCGCACATCCCCCGTAGCGTCTTATAAATCTGAATTTCATAGAAAACAACGATCTTAACCAGACCAATCGGTTAATTCTTACACATATGTGTAGACTACGCTCATACTAGACTTCCCCTCATTATAACAAAGGAACATAGAGAGAACATACACTGGTATGTAACCAAGTCTAGAGAAAACTGGACTGCCGAGTGCCTTCACTTTGATCTCTTCAGGCGAGAAAAGACGAAGTCTTACTCCGATACACCTCCAAAAATAAACATATTTTAAAGCGAAACGAAGTGGTTCTCGCTACTGGAGTCTGTCATCTGCCATCTTGCGTCCCTCTTTAAAAATGAAAAAGAAAACGTCTCTGTTTGGCCCCCATCAAGCCTCTCTCGCTTTAGTGTTTAAAAGAAATCAAAAGTGGATTACAGGCGTTCGTTTCTTCGCTGCTTCCGAGTCCTATCGTGGCCGATTCCTGAGAGCGTGCATCCATGGGTCGATCCTCAAAACGGGCCAATCTCACCATGGTATTATTTATGGTTTTTTTCCCCCTCTTCTCTCGTTCAGGCTTTGATCAGGGTTGGAATGCAGGGACAGAAAAGAGAGTTTCAATACACACAGAGCTTCACACTCGCTCCTCCCCTCCCAACGACCACTCCGCCAATCACGTGACTCATCTCCGCTTTGACATGCCAAAAGGAGGGGCTTCGAGCAACGAGGCGGGGCTTTGTTTAAAAGGGCATCGACATCGGGGGAATAATGCGAAGATTAGTGAGGATTTTGAATCATCCCAGCGACTCGAAACTTTTAAATCCGTTCACTAAAATCAGAATCGGAAAGGGCTTTATTGCCAAATAGGTTTGCACATACAAGGAATTTGTTCTGGGAGCAGAAGCTTCTAGGACACAGAGACAACAACACAGAGATAATAAGAAATAAAGATATGTGTATAAAACAGAAATAGTAATAATTTATGTTTTCAGTTTCACATTTTCAATTTGGTATATTATTTTGTGCTTTTGAAAATTTGTATTCGTCTTTTAACTATAAGGCCTAATTTATTTACTTTATTTCAGTTTTAATTTTATTGTTAGCAGCGACCTTTTCTGCAAGTTATGCATCCAGCTGTGACGAGTGTCATTTATTATGAGTGGCAAAGGGGAGACTTCAGTGAGTAAAAATGATGATTCCGTGCGTAAACGAGAATGATTCATTCAAAAGATTTGTTCAAATACAATGATTCATTAACGAACAAATCATTACTGTCTCTGTGCTGAGTGATGTAAAATAGTTTTATAAATACACAAATATGGAGCCACTCTAATTAATGAGCCTTATTTATCAGAAAAGTGTGTTATTTTGTGAATCTGAGTTTGTTAACTGGCTGATTTCATTTCAATTTCAATTTTCAACCCATACCCAGCTCTACGTTACCTTACATCAGTTGTTGATGTAAAAGTTGTTGCCCTTTTAAGAGGAGCGCCGTCATCACCAAAAACATGATCAGTTCAGGGAATGGGTGAGAGGGGGGATTACGGGGATTTCTTACTCGAGCTGTAATGACATGAAGTTGTTAAATTCGCTGACATAATCCAGTCCTTCCCACATAGGAAACTACTCAAATATCCGACAGGTGACGTAGACAGTACAGGAAAAAAGAAGTCACATTCAGAATCTCTAATAGTGTTTTTGAGATGTCAAGCACTTGCTCGTACTGTAAATGTTATTACACATATGATCAGCAATCCCAATTGGCCATCTCACAATCTTCTAGACAAAAGGACAGAATGCTGAAAACTCTAGAGGCTTTTTTTTTGTATGCTGTCTTCATTGGAACCAATTATACAAAGTAATTTGAAACCGGCACCTACCTAGTCATGTGGTGCCTCATTTTGTTGGGACATTCTGGTATTTATATGCATACACCAGGTGTATACTTATTTATATGACATACACCAAGATCAATGCTACAGTGCCAAAATGCACATACCGAGTAAAACCTATGATGACCAGCATGTTCTTAATTATTTTCTCTTGTATTGCACATTGGTTTTGCTATTAAAATGTATAATGTATGTAAAATATGTTAAATGGCTTTTAGCAGGTTCACAGCTTTTTTAAAATAAACAATAGATGAATGAACTGAATCTTCTAAAAGGTTTGGTTGTAGGCCTATACAAATTATTATATTTTAGAGTTTAAAATGGGTTAATGCTAAACCACTAACTACAATTTTGTCTCTGTAAGTATTTATTTAGCAAAGACAAGAATATCACATTGAGACATTAGTGACGTGACATGTGGCCAAGTATGGTGACCCATACTCGGAATTAGTGCTCTGCATTTATCCCATCCAAAGTGCACACACACAGCAGTGAACACACACACCGTGAACACACACCCGGAGCAGTGGGCAGCCATTTTTTGCTGCAGCACCCGGGGAGCAGTTGGGGGTTCGGTGCCTTGCTCAAGGGCACCTCACCGTATTGAAGGTGGGAGAGAGCGCTGTACGGTTCAACACAAAGTCCTCATCCACTAGGTCTGTGATCACCAGGTTCAGAAGTTTACAAGTGCCCTCGGTGAAGACGCGATTACTATGGAGAGAATCAAACAATGCAATACAATAATAAAAACAGACAAAAGACAATGCTGATGAAAGATTTTCTAAACCTGTTCTCAAATGTGCATCTTATTAACTAATTAGTGTCAACTTAATAAATGGTGAAAATGTGGGTTTTTCTTGTCAAAGTTATAGACTAGCGCATTATCACAATAATTAAATGATTTTACTTAAAACGTACTGTAAGTAAATAATAATTTTTAATGCATGTTGCTTGTTTGAATTGATTGTTTTTTCAAGGTTTGGCCTGCGTCATTTTGCACTTTATCATCACCTAAATTATTTGCTATTTTTACAAAACCAGTAATTTTACTAGAAGTTGTAAAAAATAAATGGTCTGAAATGAATGAATATGACATGACAAAATATTTAATTCATAAGTATTTAGTACATAAGGATTTTCTTCAATAAAAAAAAATTATAATTTTTCATTAACCAATGTTCAAGATTACTTAATTCCTAATTCTAACTATTCTCCCTGTTTTGCAATGTCATATAGTTGACAGTAACAGTATAGAGAGGACATGTGTGTTTTCTCTCAGCATGCGTTCTTGGTCTGTTAGCATGGATATAAGTTCTCTCTTTCAAGTCTTGAACCAACATGGATTTGCTAGCAAACAAACGCACACCTGCTCCTTTTAAACAAAAACTAATAACCAAAACATTCACAAAGTTTTGAATTTCATATCACATATGAGGCAGAACACCTGCAGTCTGAAAGCACAGGGTCTCGTGGAACGTTCATTTCTCACCTAGCAATAAAGATGCAGAGCAGGTACATGTGGTCCGCCCCGGCAAAGAGCATGGCCATGCTGAGGCCCAGCTTCAGAAGAAAGAGCCCGCGGACAACCTGGTAGACACCCAGTCTTTGGCACAGCGTCAAAAAGTAGAGATTGTTCAGATGAGGTGCAATGTAAGAAATGCCTGTGTCACAGGAAAATAGAAAAAGAGAATTTAAAAAAAAAATGTATCACGGTTTTCACAAAAATATTAAGCAACACAACGGCATTTTTTCAGCATTGACAATAATAATGCCATTGGCCATGTGAATGGTTCCTTTCTGTCTTACCCAGCAGAAAGGAGCCGGTGGAAGCAGAGATACGGTCTGACAGGAGGTGCTCCAAAAACAAAGGAAAGAAATTGCTGTTGAAATGGCAGTGGAATACCTGCAGATGGTGGGTTAGAGGACAAACATATCAAATTGGGTCTCTAATTAGATGATTAGAGAAAAAATTGTCTTTTGTGCATGTTTGCTCATTTTTACCTGTACAAGGTTCATAGAAACAAACCACATAAAGTTCTTGTGGCGGGACAGCTGCTTTAGATATTCCCCAAGAGTGACTGGCTTCTCAGGTGAGGTAAAAGGAGCCTGACCGACACTCAGTCTATTAGGATGTCAAGGAGGATGTGCAATCAAATGGAAGGCAACGAAAGAAAAAAAAAAGTTGAGGGGAAACTTATACAGTGAATTAAAGCAAGTAAAATCACTGTAACACAAATGGGTTATTACTTTAAAGGGATCATATGATGCTGCTAAAAAGAACAGTATTTGGTGTAATGAAATGTGTTTATGTGGTTTAAGGTTCAAAAAACACATTATTTTCCACATACTGAACATTATTGTTTCTCCTCTATGCCCCGCCTTTCTGAAACGCGTCGCACAACTTCCCCATTACTATTATAAAACGACATATATTTGCAAGCAAAAGTAATCAAACAATGGCCAAAAGCACGAAAATAGCTCATACATCCTAAGCCATAGCTCAAGACTCTGACACATTTGTGTAAAAATTTGAACATTTTCTAAAATAAATCAAATGTTTCCTACAATAAATAACCATGAAATATGAATAAAATATCAGATGTGCTCATTGTGCCCAAACCAGTAGTTGACCAATTTTTTTTAACCATCTAAGGCCTAAAATATTAAAATATTAAGACATTTCTTCATGGTTTTTTGCAACGATCATACAGGAAATGCAACTTCACAAATGTGTCAAAAATGGTATTTTTACTAAAAGTTAAGAATATAAATTTGGCAATAAATTTTAATTTGGAAAACCCTTATACAAAACTATTTCTGTAACTTTGAGAAGTCAATCTGCATTTTAACATCAGACTGGCCAAGGAATTCATTACCGTCTTGACAACTCAAAATAAAGTGAAATTGGACATTTGGTACAAAAATAAGTTAGTTATACATGCTAGTACAACACAGAGTCTGCATTTACGTTCATGTGAACTATAACATACATACTTTTCAGTAATAATAATCACTGATAGCAATGAGTAACTGAATGAATTTCAAAAAGTTATATAAAACAGATGTTACTGGCCACAAAACAACTTCAACATCTGGCCGAATTACAAAGACAATGTAGAAGTCCTGACAGTATAAAAGAAAACACCACAGATATCCATGCAATTCCATATCATGTATCCCTGGAACACTGCTGAACGTATTGCAAACATGCCCTTTCTCAGAACACAGTGTATTTTTTCACATAAAGGTGAAACATACAGGCAAGGGAGATGTGATTTGATTTGGCTTGATTATCAACCCATATAACTATACATTGAAACTTCAGAACAGGAGGTTTGGGGGCAGTACTGTTCAATATGGTCCCAAACCACTAGACTGGTTAAACCGTCTATTCATTTTTGGTCACATACTCAATATAACAGTTAGCAAACATAGCAAATTAAGGCAGGTTTCAATAAGATGGGACCATACATTCTCTCTTTAGTGTCTCTTGCAGTATTTGGCATCACCATTCTCCATTCAGGGTCTGTTGGCAGCATGCCTGGTCTTAGGGAGTGTCCACAACTCATTTTCTTTCCTCTTCCCATGCGTAACAAGAACATTAGATAGCCTTGACATCAATGAGGTGGCTGTGTTGGGCACCCTGCCTTAGGGTCTTGATGTTTTGTAGCCTTCGTCCATGCAGAGTGAAGCGAGACCACGTCAGCAGCTGCAGAAGGGCACAGGAAATGGGCACGAACACCAGCAGATAAAAGCAACCCTGGCGCAGTGGCACAGGGACCGCAGGAGCTGCAATCGGTGCTTCTGCCATAGAGTTTCTCTCAAAGATGTCATATCCTGGAAAACGATAGGGGGTGATGAGAGACACAAATACACTTTTTATCCGTCAAAGAACCCTGAAACAAATGTTATCATGGTTTCCACAAAATAAAGCTGCACAACTGTTTTCAACATTGATAGTAATAAGAAATGTTTATTGAGCACCATATTAGAATGATTTCCGAAGGATCATGTGACACTGAAAATTTAGCTTTGCCACCACAGCAATAAATGTACATTTTTAAATGTATTCAAATAGAAAATCTATTTTAAACTGCAAAAATATTACCGTTTTTACTATATTTGAATCCAATAAATTAAGCCTTGGTGAGCACAAGAGACTTCTTTCAAAAAAAAAAAAAACATTTTACCAACCCCAAACCTTTAAACAGTAGTGTAATTTCAATTTAAAACCTAACAAACTGCTCTGTGTGAATTTTATTCTTGAAAAATGTGCTTCTACTACAGTTCTCTAAAATAAATGCAATTTCGTTTAATATTTTGTTATTTAACGCATTAAATTTAACATATTTTTACATGCAACTTAAGTTTTGAAATACATTTTTGTGGCCACTAAAAACATTTATATATAAAAATAAAATAAAAATCATATATATACATATATATATATATATATATATAAATACACACACACACGCATATAAAATTTATATAATACATTTAAATATATTTATAATATATATTGTAATATATTGTGTCAAACAAGATGTCCAATGCAGGATTTATTAGACTGATTCTTTGTTGTTGGCTCTTGTATGAAACATTTGCTTAATTTTCCCTCATTTGTAAGTCACTTTAGATAAAAGCATCTGTTAAATAATTGAATGTAATTACTAAATGTGAATGTTACATATAATGCATGTTCATTCACTGCACACGCACCTGTGTAGAGACACAGCAGCCAGGTACCAATGAGAGGGGCAAAGGTCTGGCCAGGCTTGGTTACCAAGGCAACCATACCAAAGAGCAGGGCAGAAGCTGCTTGTTGTCGGCGGTTCAACACAAAGTCCTCATCCACTAGGTCTGTGATCACCAGGTTCAGAAGTTTACAAGTGCCCTCGGTGAAGACGCGATTACTATGGAGAGAATCAAACAATGCAATACAATAATAAAAACAGACAAAAGACAATGCTGATGAAAGATTTTCTAAACCTGTTCTCAAATGTGCATCTTATTAACTAATTAGTGTCAACTTAATAAATGGTGAAAATGTGGGTTTTTCTTGTCAAAGTTATAGACTAGCGCATTATCACAATAATTAAATGATTTTACTTAAAACGTACTGTAAGTAAATAATAATTTTTAATGCATGTTGCTTGTTTGAATTGATTGTTTTTTCAAGGTTTGGCCTGCGTCATTTTGCACTTTATCATCACCTAAATTATTTGCTATTTTTACAAAACCAGTAATTTTACTAGAAGTTGTAAAAAATAAATGGTCTGAAATGAATGAATATGACATGACAAAATATTTAATTCATAAGTATTTAGTACATAAGGATTTTCTTCAATAAAAAAAAATTATAATTTTTCATTAACCAATGTTCAAGATTACTTAATTCCTTCGGTCTGAAAAAGCGAGGTGTGCTGTGATTGGCCAGCTATCCAGTGCGTTGTGATTGGCCGAATGCCTCAAGCATGTGACGGAAATGTTACGCCCCTTGCCATATTGTGATGATGCCCTGTCAGGCGCGAGTGTAACCCCTCTCTCCCGGGTCCGCACCGCCGCACCTCGTTCTCGCTCCGAGTGGGTCTCCGGCATGGGAGGCGGACGCACTAACAAGGAGGCTAAATGGCTACAGCCACTAGCGTCAGTCGCTAGTGCGTCTCTTGAGATCAGGGGAGTGAGGTTTACTATATACATATATATATATATATAAATACACACACACACGCATATAAAATTTATATAATACATTTAAATATATTTATAATATATATTGTAATATATTGTGTCAAACAAGATGTCCAATGCAGGATTTATTAGACTGATTCTTTGTTGTTGGCTCTTGTATGAAACATTTGCTTAATTTTCCCTCATTTGTAAGTCACTTTAGATAAAAGCATCTGTTAAATAATTGAATGTAATTACTAAATGTGAATGTTACATATAATGCATGTTCATTCACTGCACACGCACCTGTGTAGAGACACAGCAGCCAGGTACCAATGAGAGGGGCAAAGGTCTGGCCAGGCTTGGTTACCAAGGCAACCATACCAAAGAGCAGGGCAGAAGCTGCTTGTTGTCGGCGGTTCAACACAAAGTCCTCATCCACTAGGTCTGTGATCACCAGGTTCAGAAGTTTACAAGTGCCCTCGGTGAAGACGCGATTACTGAAAGGAAAACTTGAAATCGCATCATATGACCCCTTTAATATGAAGTTGTTTCAATTTTAGCATTTTAAATGTTCATACGTTTGTAGTCCAGCAACTCTAGAAAAGTGCAAAACAGCTAAATAAATGGATAACTGAATTATAGAATTGAAAAAAATAAAAAAGTAAAACCAAGATGACAACCGTTTTAGAGGATTCAAAACTTGAGCAATACTGTGTGGGTGGAATAAATAATACAGAACACAGCTTTCATGTTCCTTTTTTCTACAGTTTTCAACTGAAACTGTTATCATAAATTTAAACCTGAAATTAAACTGATTATTTGTTTGAAAGCTGCGATATTTACAATATCCATAGGTGACCTGCTAAACCAAATATATAATTTTTGCTCCATTAAAAAAATTACTTTGAAGCCATATTAATGCTTGATAAGAAAAAGCAGTGGTAGACTAACTGTTAAAGGAACAGCTTTTAGTAAAAAAAAAACTAAAAAAAAAGTGCTCATTTACTCAACTCCATATTGTTTTTTCTTTTGTAAAACACAAAATGAGATGCAAGGCAGCATGTTTGAGCTGCACTTTTCCATACCATGGGAAATACCACCAAACTCAAGTTAAAAATGCATCCTAAATATATAATACAATGTATCCTAAACTCAAGCAAGGTTAATGTAGTTAACTAAAACTAAAACCATAAAAATTGTTACTTAAAATAAACATGATCTGAAATAAAATATTAAAAAACTTACTTTATTTCAGCTAGTTGCCAATGCACCATTTCTTGTTTTCATTTAGTTTAACTTAATGAACCAAAATAACAAAAACTGAAATAATAAACTACATAGAAATAAAAAAAAACTATACAAAACTAAAAAAAAAATTTTAAACAACAAAATTACTAAAACTTTAACAAATTAAAATAAAAATTGAAAATATAAATCTAAAAACATTTAAAATATTAAAAAATATATATAATATCTCAGAGATACTAAAATAACACTGTTCTGAAGTCATGATGCATCAGATGAAGATCAGACCAAAGTATAGGCTGTAATACACTCATTTATGGTTCTTTTTTGTACAAATATTCATGTACTTTTTTTTGTACAGAAAACAGAAGCTTGGATATTCTGTCTAATACCTCCTTTTACGTTTCATAGTAGAACATAATATGAGTTGGGAAAATATGTGGTTGAGTAAATGATGCCAAAATGAACCTTTTTGGGTGAAATATTGCTTTAAGAAGCTGTGCTGGTAACACAAATACTGCATGTTCACATCCAGCACTATCAACATTCCTCCCATGAGCGAGGCAGTTAACCCCAGGTTGCTCCACGGGGACCGGCTCTGCAATTAGTGTGGTGTAAATTGCTTCGGATGAAAAGTAACTGCTAAACGACAAGTAACATTTAGCACTGCAAAACAATAATGCTCTTACTCAGTGAGCGCTTGGCTCTCATTCTTGCATGGCTGGACTTTGTTCTGAAACCTGTGCCGCAGGAGACGTGAAACCACAAAAAAGCCTAGCATTGAGAGAGTGGCCAGAGTCACGCAGAAGAGTCTGAAGGAGTAGAAGTTTTCCTTGTTCCAGAAGGAGTAAGAGAGGAAGACGGACAGCGAGCCCATCGCACTGAACAAGGAACTGTGGAAGTTGAGGCGCGTGCGGTCATGTGCAGACACGGCCAGGTCGGCCAGGAGGGCGTTGTGGTTGAGGTCGACCACCGTGAGGAAGCCATCGTAAAGGCACAGGCAGATAAGGAACTGCAGTCCAGGCCAGGTCCAAGCCACCCAGAAGGCCAGGAATGAGAGGGCAAACAGAGGCCCGCTGCGGGAGAGTGCCTGCAGACGCTTCAGGACCACCTCAGGGGACGTGATCTGGGACCCAGACCTGAGCAATCAAACACAGACATTTTAATGAGATACAGTGGGTACGGAAAGTATTCAGACCCCCTTAAATTTTTCACTCTCTTACCAAAATATTGATTTCCAATTTGAAGAGAGTGAATAATCTTACTGAGGAGAGCTCAGGAATGAGCGGTCACTCAGCCAGCCAAAAAGAGGGTCGTTCAGGCTATTCCATATCAGAAACACAGTCTGTGAAAAAGAAACAATATAACGAACAGAAAAGAAAAATAGGTAACACTTTACAGTAAGGTTCATTAGTTAACATGAACTAAGAATGAACAATATTTCTACAGCATTTATTAATCTTAGTTAATGTTAATTTCAACATTAATGCATTATTTAAACAAAAAGTTCTGCTTGTTAACATTAGTTAATGCACTGTGAATTAAAATGAACTAACAATGAACGACTGATTAATAAATACTGTAATGTACTGTTCATGGTTCGTTCATGTTACATGTATTAAACATGAACTAATGGAACCTTATTGTAAAGTGTTACCGAAAAATATGGTAAAAACTTCTGACTAATGGAAGCTTATGTATTTTAGTCAAATATAATTAATAAGTATTTCAAATAATTAGAATATACTGTATACAATTTTTTTATGTTTTTGAAAGAAGTCTCATATTCTTACCAAGGCTGCATTTATTTGATCAAGAATACAGTAACATTGTGTAATGTAGAAAACAGTAATATTGTGAAAAATTATTACAATTTGAAATAACTGCTTTCTATTTTTTTATATTTTAAAATGTAATTTAATCCAGTGATGGCAAAGCTGAATTTTCAGCATTATTACTCCAGTCTTTAGTCTTTTTACAAATATTAATAATAATAATTTAGAATCTTACGTAATTGAAGATACCATTAAGTAAACCTACCTCTCCCAGCCAAAACGACATCTTGTCAATCTTGTAAACAGACACAAAGGTCTCGACATAATACAGTAAGAAGACATTGTGGAGAATGGAGATGAACAGAGCCAGGGAGCCATAAAGCACAGCCGTTGAGACGCCCTGGCAGAGGCCCCATACCCTCCTTCTCATCCTTTGCTACTTCTCTCCGCTCTTCCTGCCCACGCAGCGCTCTACATGTCCCACAGGCCGGGCAGGTTGGGCTCATCGCTCTATCCACCCCTGCAAACAAACAGACACCAACACAAACCAACCAGTTCAAACCCATGCAGTCTATTATTCTGTAAAATATGAGTCTGGGTAATGTCTGCCGGCTGTTTTTAGACTGGAAATTACCATTACTTAAATTAGATTCAGAGAGCGTAACTGGACAACGGCCAAGCCAAAGAGAAAACTGAGCATCTGTATTACATTATCAAGCAGCTTTTGCTTGGTTTTAATGATTCAGCACTTTGCTCGATATGAATCTGGAAAAACAGGCTAAAGCCAGACAAGACAGAAACCTCCTCCTGACTAAAATAACAATAATGTGGGGGAAAGTTGGGGGAAAAAACATCACCAAAGATGTTTAATCACAGCTTTTACAAGGTTAGTCAAGCAAATTGTGGTTATTTAGTATGAAATTAGAAAACATATTTAACACAAGTCCATTCTCAAATTAAAAATGAATTGGAAAATAGCACTATAAAAATATCTCTAAAAAATGGCTTCCGTATTTTTCCATGGAGAGTGTTATGGGGAATTTGGGAAGAAGGCAGCTCATTTTCCATATTCATGATAACAAAAACAGCCTGGACTTCTTCACAGAGTGTCATGTGAGCAGTTCTTCTGTACTTTCTGGTCACACCTCCATATTGTGCCTGTAAAACCATTTCTAGCAGGATATCATCATAGATCCCACTGAGAAGTGTAATTGCACATGAACTTTAGATTTTAATGAGCTGGATGATCTCATTCCAGCTTCAAAGATGACAATAACAAACACTGTTATTCAGTCCAGAGATGTCCCTGAGGTCTGATGAGACATGTAACCCGAGTAGAATTAGTGTAGGCTGAGGCCTGCGACTGCTATCAAATATTGAACCGTTTCCAATTGTAGGGTGGAGCGGACTTTATTGTGCCATAATCATGTGAATTTCTTCACGCACAGTGAATCCTTTATTTCTTTAACTTTGGACATCCGTGTGACAACCTTTTGCAAATATCACCAACCTCAACCTGGCACACGTGGCATAGCAAAAAGCAAATTAAAATGCTTTCTGGGTAGCACACCTGATGTTCACATGCATGGCAAGCTCACAAAAGTCCTAGGATTCTTTTTAAAACACCTGTCCTTATAGTTAAAACAACTTTAAAATAAGCTCTTTGAAAGAACAATGAATTACAGTTCTGCGCAGTTAAACTACCCTAAACATATGAGAGATCTTGTTACTCCCAGCCTGATATCCATCTGATCTAAGCAGTGAAGCAAAACGTACTTTACTGGATCGCGTTGCACACAGTGATTCTCATCTCATCTAATTTCTAAAGGACAGGTGGCTGCTTCCCAGCCGATTCGATTCAGCAATCTTTGATCCAACAAGAGCTCAAGTGCCATGGAGCAAAAGACCAACGTTTTGGCAGCACTGTGTTACAATGACAGGTTGTCCACCTGTGTCTGTTCTCCAGAGCAACAGGATGCGTGGGAACTGTTCTCATATTGACGGAAGACTCTTTTATTTGACCAAAATGTCAAACAATCACACCCTTTTTACACAAATGCTTATTACGCAAATATCTGTAGCCAAGTTAGAATGACCATTAGGGGCCAAGTAGGACATATTATATATATATATATATAAATATACATATAGTGTACTGCGTTAGGCTAACCGAGACTTGTCATTTGCACTTATATATTGTTGCTCTCCTTTAACGGAGTAAAACGAGGCCTTTTCTAATGTCATCAGAACATTGACATTTTTAAGTATATTTATTAATTTAAGGGAACAACAATTAATTTAGAATTATAGCTACAATTTAATAATTATTTAATATTGTCATATATTTAAAAAATTCATGCCACACATATTATTTATCATAACCTATAATTATAAGAGTAGAATGAGGCCTTTTCTAATTTCTTTGGAACACTGACACTTTAATATGTATTTATTCATTCAAGGGCACAATAATTTATTTAAAACTACAAAAATAATTTCACAATTATGTAATATTTCCATATATCAAAAAATACATGTCACAAATTTGCATTATTTGTCATAACCTATAATTGAGTAGAATTAAGTCTTTCCTTGTTTCATAATATCTCCTTTAAGTTGTTCACCAAAATATGCGTTTTATTATTTTACATTAACAATAATTATAAAATGTATGTATCATATATATGCATGCAACTCATATCTCACGTAGGCCTACTCCATTTTCTAATTACCTCTGAAGCTCTATTAAAAGAACCATTGATCACACTGACTATGACTCCTGACACCTGTAAGTAAATATTAAATATATCCTTAAATATATTCTGTCTTAGTTACCGATTCAAAACACTTAAACACAGAGCTGTCTGAAAAGAGGAACTGGAAACGCTGGAACGACTGCTTCAACTCGACGATTATGCTTTAGTATTACATTTAATATTTCTTAAGTTGCATAATCGATTGTTTTCGCCTTGAATGATACGTGGTTACATTTTCACTAGCATAATGATACAATATTTCACTAGTAGATCTGTGCTAGCCGCTGACGTTAGCGAGTTTAACGTTACTCATACTGTAGTAATTCACCACGCTGAGCTGAGAGTGTTTGCATTTGACCAGAGAATCACACAACAGCTGAAGGAAAATCACGCATATTTGATCAAACTATGAGTTCGAGCTGCGACGTGACACTTTAAGCCTAAAATAACCCTTTAAACTACTAATCCTGTTCGGAGTTAAGCTCGCTAGCAGGCTATCCGCTTTCATATCAAGCAATGCGACGTGTACCAATTTACAGCCCGCGCATCAGCTGATCAGAACCCGTGCGGTCAGTCGATTCCGGGATTTTAGATCTTTAGGCTGTTAGACACTTACCATATGGAGCTGATGTCAAAGCTGCAATCACCTGATGATCAAAACATACGCTGAAAACGTTTGTAGGTTTCACAGTTGTATCGAAACATGTCATGTGTTGGACGAGGAAGCCCGTGACGTCATGAGTCTTCCCTCCTCCTCCTCCTCATCACTCCAGCTGCCAATTGTACACGTAATTTACGTACGCACAGACAGACAGACACACACACACACACACACACACACACACACACACACACACACACACACACATGTTGTGATAAATACCAGGTACACACACACACACACACACACACACACACTCAATTGGTAACCTGAGAATATTGCATACTACATTGTTGTGGCCATTTAAATTGCATATTTTTGACTAGCAGTAAAGTTTTAAGGAGGAATCGCATGAATGCACTATTCCGAACCTCTAAACAAGCTGATAATGGGCACGTTTTCTTATTGTATATATGAACATGTGAGAAACTAAAGCTCAGGCCTTACAGAGGCCTATTTCAGCCAAACCAAAATATATTTAAATTATATTGTATACTGATAAATGATCGTCCTCATATACAATATTAATTACAATCAAACAGTAGCCTACGAATTTAGCATAGTCTTCAGTTTGTATTGTTGTATAGCCTAATACAGAATAAGTACATATACTTTAAAGCCTTGAATAAAAAAAGCTATTAAAAATATATTGTCACACTATTTGGGATTTTTTATGGGAAACTTCTTACAGTGATTCGATAAAAATACCATAAAAATTAAAATAAAAAATAAAAAATACACTTTTCATAGAATAAGATATCTTCCACAATTTACGAATATTTAAAGTATTATTCCACAATATTTAAAATTATATGCCATAGCAAAATGTAAACATTTGAAACTATTCCAAAACAGCAACAAGAAAAATGTACAAATACATTGTTTTGGACAATGGCAACTGTTAATTAGATACAATGGATACAGTTTTAACATATGAAACTATAACTTGACATTTAATATCTATGGGGAAATACCCATATCCTGAAATTAACTTCACTTAAAATCTATCTATTGTGTTAATTTTGTTTTATCCAATATAGGCCTATATAGCTCAAATAAGATGATATTATTTTGGAGGACAGAAAAAAATAATAATTTAAGAGGAGAAAAAAATCACTGTTAGAAAAACAAGTAATGACTTGTTATATAGTTACTGAAATACAGCTCTTATGACTTCCCGCCTCCCATGTGACAACTAGCCCCGGCGTGCCCTACATGTTGCATTTTTAATACTAACCTCTAGTTGGCAACCGATACAAATGAAGCGACTGAATTCGTGTCACAACAGTCGCACATTTAACTCCCCATCCCCGATGAATGCACAAGTCCGTTGCATTCTCTCTCTCTCCAAAAAAAAAAACTTTAATAAAACCAAAATGCTGTAAACCAATGCTTTAGAGAAGTGACATTGGGACAGATAGTAGAGGAGGCGTGGTCGCTCATGAATATTACCCAGAGAGGCGTGGCTTGGCTTCACCTGAGACTGCTCTGAGGAGCGAGGAGCGAGGAGCGTGCAGCATGCAGCGCAGTACACAGTCAGATCTCTGGAGCAGAGGCATCATTAGCTGCATAACAGGGGATCATATGGAAACACAGGGTGACTGATGCTTATATTTTTTCTGAAATAGTCAGGTAATGTAACCACAAAGTTTATGATATATCTTTGACATTTTGCATGTGCTTTTTTATCACAACTGTGTAGTTAGGCTATAAGTAGGTATCTTTGCGCATAATCTATTGTAATATAAACGGAGCCTGCTGGGCTCTCTACACGCAGATGAAGGTGACTGGGAATGAGTGCCAGAAGTCTCCTTGAAAAATACTGCAGTGGTGTGCAATCTGATGTAGACCACACGTAGGCATACTAAAACACTTTTTATTATCTATCTATCTATCTATCTATCTATCTATCCAGTATATTTGTTTTGCAAGTGTATGCTTTGCGCTAATAAATCTGATGCTATGAGACCTGATTTTTATGAAGTGAACGGTTCTGAGTGATTTATCAGCGGTATCAGAGATGTCAGTATGTTAGAGCTTCTTTTTTTCTGGAAGTTGATCAGGGGTTGAAAAATGCATATGTAAAATTAAACATTTGGTTCATTGTAGCATTTCTGCAAGTCTACTTATAAATGTAAAACTTAATTAATACAAGCCTGCTAAATTAATATTAATTATTAATACAAATTTAAACTTAATAAATTGCTAGCATGCATTTTATCTGTGCAGTATTTAGTTGGACCAGAGGTTGGATTAACACTGTTCATGTCCTCGGTTTATTTCCTGTGCTGGATTAAATTATTATTTTTGATATCTTTTCTATACAAGTAAAATTGCATCACAATGACAGAGAATGGCAGATGGAGTGGGTAACATTTACTTCTGTGACTAAAAGACGCATTTAGAAATTCAGACAGAAAATCAGCCTAGAATAATTTATAAAATTTGGGGGGTGGGGGGGGGATTAGTCCATGTCAAGAAGTGAATTCAGTGAAACCAAACAACACCCTCCATTGATTGTTTTGTTCTAATGAGGATTCTCTTAACTCTTATAGGCTTACATTACTTTGACAACCAAACCATGAAAACATCTTCAGAAACAATGCCATTGTTATTTGATTTAATTAATCCAAGTAAGACAGATAATGTGCTCATTAATGGCATCAAAGTAACAGTACCTTCGGCTCTTAATCTGGTCTCTAACGCACTCAGAAGGTCTAGTGCATTCTTGAATGGTTCATTCTTTCCATAACATCAAATAAAAAACATATTATTTCTTTTACATCTCAACCTGAACGAGAACTGTACAGTTATTGTAGGGGAACTGGTTATAATGTCTGATGGAATGGATGCATGAACTATTTTGACATGCATAATTATAAGTAGCATTTCATGATGCAGTAATCAGTATTGGAAATTAGACTTGAAAATTCGCATTACTTTAAAATCTCTCATGACTCTTTCAGCGCAGCTAAACTAGATTAAGTGCAGATGGAGAATTAGTGAGATATGCCATAAAATCCCACATTTGGGTGATTGGAGGTACTTCTTCGCCAACTGTGGAAATGTCAGACTGGAAATATAGTATTTATATTGTTCAACTGACAGATGGCTATATCAGAAATGATTCCTTATTTTATGACTCTCTAAGCTTAATGTTTCTGTATGTACTAAGTACAGTAGTGTATTATATGCAGACTGGCAAATTTACTTTTCCAGCATGTGATGTGATCAGGTTGACATGTCTCTTGTCCATACTACCCCGAGCAGGGTGCTTATTGTAACAGGAGAAGTGTTAATGCTTATGTGTTTATGGTACAGTATATGTCTGAATAGATGGAGTGATATGCATTAACCCAGCAGCTTTTCAGTAAGAAACTGGAGCAAAGCAAAGCCATTTATATTCACTTCAATATGGTATATAGTGGCTGCATCTATTGTATCTATATCCACTGCATCCATATCCATTTCACCATCACAAAATGGTGTTTCTAGACAACAAACCCATTTAAGCGATACCTCATAATATACAAAGAATTTCTGTGACGCTAAGTGTTTTGAAATAAAGTTTACTCACTATAAAGTGAATCAAAACTAAGCTACAAAATCTGCTTTTGAGGCAGTTCTCCAGAGCCAAAAATTGTGCATCCTCCACAATTGTGCATCATGCCAGAAAAAGATGAAAATTTGCTGAAAATGTACTCACTCTTGGGCTGTCCAAGATGTAGATGAGTTTGTTTCTTCGTCAGAATAGATTTGGAGAAATTTAGCATTACATCACTTGCTCAACAATGGATCCTCTGCAGTGAATGGGTGCCGTCAGAATGAGAGTTCAAACATTTATTTGCATTTAGCAGATGCTTTTATCCAAAGCGACTTACAGTGCATTCAGGCTATACATTTTTTTTAAACAGCTGATAAAAACATCACAGTGATTCACAGGTAATTCACATGACTCCAGTCCATCAGTTAACATCTTGTGAAGTGAAAAGCTGTGTGTTTGTAATAAACAAATCCATCATTAAGGTGTTTTAACTTTAAACCATCGCTTCTGGCTAAAACATAGATAGAGAATCCATAATCCATAATAACATTAGAAATGAAAAAGTCCTTCCCCTGTTGTCCTCTCACATCAAAATCCACCCAACTGTTTTGGACAGTTTTCGCTTGTAAATGGTGCATGATATGTGTATATTTCTCTCCTGATTCAGATGAGACTAGTTTTTACATAGAGAAAGCAATAATATGGATAGAAGACTCATTAATTGACTGGAAACTGCAGTTTGTGGATTACTTAATTACTTGTGGATTATTGTCATCGTCACCTGTTTAAACTCTCATTCTGACGGCACCCATCCACTGCAGAGGATCCATTGGTGAGCAAGTGATGTAATGATACATTTCTCCAAATCTGTTCCGATGAAAAAACAAACTCATCTACATTTTGGATGGCCAGCAGGTGAGTGGATTTTCATAAATTTTTCATTTTTTGGGCGAACAATTGATTTAAAATGACTGACTGGACTTTAGCGTGACCAAGTAAAATCTTTGTATTGTTTTATTCAAAGGCATCCCTTCAATATTAACCATTTATTGCCATCTTATATGCATCATGTGCTTGGAAAGTGAAGAAAATGGGTTTGTTGCTTTGAGGAAACATCATGGAATTGATGCATTTGGTGCACTTTTATTCAACTTTGTAAGTATTTTATCAGTTTGTGTGTTTCCTGAGAAACAAGCACCATGATGTACCAGGCAGCTACAGGAATGTTAATTGTTTTGCACATTTTCATGCGATGTGGTTTGTTTGATAATAGCATTTGATACAGTAGACATGCATTGCACTATGAGATGTTTAGTGAATGCATTTGTGTATGACGTGTTTTCTCATCAAGCCATCTGCTCTCGATATGTGTCTCGGGAAGGAAGAGACTTACTCATGTTTTCTTGCCAATGCAGCGGGAAACCTTTGACAGAGCAAGGATGAGTTAGCAGCCCATGACTGCACTGCTGGAAGTGGGAGCTTGTTCTAGTGAATCAGCATCCATTACACAACAACATTATCTTCAGCAAAGTACTGCTGGAGGAACCTGCCTGGATCTTAGCA